TGTTCATTTTATCATACAACGCATTGCTTTTACTTATCTTATGTATTTATCAGCTATTCATCTCAATTACATTTATTTGTTTTCATGTCTTATCACCCTTATTTGAACGTAAAATTCTTGAGAACATGGATAATGTCTTATGCTCTTCTTACTACTACTGCCATGCAGAGATATAGCACATAGCATACATCAAGTGCTTAATAAATCTTTTTTGAATGAAGGTAGGAAGGAGGAAAACTTGAGCTTTTTGGAAAAGCAATTTATAAGGATTAACCAACAAATACTTAAAGAGTGTATAGTTTTGTAGACATTGATTGCTCTCTCTGTCAACACAGAGCTCAACCCCTCCATAACGTAATAGGTCATCTTTGATTGTTGCTGTGGCCAAAGCAGCCAGTCTTGGTATGAGCATCTCCAAATTAACTAGATTGGTTGGTTCTTGTACAACAGCCATATAAACCATCACTAGGCCCTTATGTATAGCCTTTCTAGCATGGTAGAATTTGTAAAATCTTTTTTACCCATTAGAATAACTTTTAAGGAGTAAGGATCCAAGGTCACCTCCATATCACAGTACAATCATGAATTAAGACCTTAATGGAGGAATTCTCAGATGATGACAGAGAAATGAAGTATCACTATATGGTGTGTCTATCTATCTATCTATCATCTATCTATCTATCTATCTATCTATCTATCTATCTATCTATCTATCTATCTATCCATCTATCCATGTCTACTTATTACCTACCATTCGTACATTTAGCTATCCATGTACCTATCCATCTATCATCTATCCCTTTATCTACCTATCCATCTGTCTACCTATCTATATATCCATTCCTTTACATGATCAAGCATCTTCACCTTCTGCTCTGTTTTTTAGTTCAGTGCCAGGTTATCAACAATAAGTTCCTGTTAATTTTGTTATGATGATAATCTCATATGTGTATTTTACACTCATTTATTCTTTACTATTTGGTGCAAATGTCATGGGGCAGCTAAATGTAAGAGGCCCCTCTAGAGCACACGGTTGAACTCAATATGCCTTACACAAATCAAATAAAGGTCACAGAAATTTGGCCAAAGGACCCAGACAATGACATTTTTTAACACTACAATTAACTATTGTAGAAGTTTTGGTCTCTCAACTTAAATTGTCAATCAATCAATACTAAGCAATGTTATTTAAAAAAAAACTATTATGAAAAGGTTTCGAATGAGAATATAAATGAGAAATATTATGCTGTTGAAACCTGTGTGTACACACAGTACAATGTGGCTTTAAAAAGTCAATACAGCAAAATGTAGTATTGTTATGAGAGAGTAAAAATAAAGCCACTGAATTTTCAAATCTTTTCTAAAGAATTCATTTAAACAAAACTTTTTTTAAAGGACTATCATAAAAGCAACCAGTTATGTTCGAAAAGTTGATTCCTAACCCTTTAGAATCTAGAAAACTAAAATTTATTTTCCATTTAAAACTCTTTTTTTGTTATTTCACTTAATTCTTTTAGCTTTCATTGATTCAGCCTTCAGTCTTATAACCTCCTTGCCAACTGGATGCATTTCCTTTTGTTATCTTTACTGGAGAGCACAGCTGAAGAGCTTGAATAACTCCCTTGGTTAAAGTTAGTGTTATCTGTTATCAGAGTCTATGGAGTGCGAACAAATGGTGTTCATTTTCTACCCCATACTGCATGAGCAGGTGTTAAGCAGAAATGGAAACCCAACAAAAAACATTAAAGAATGGCTACTTATCTGAGACAGGCAGTTATGTTTCCTCTTTGCTTTGGCACCCAGCACAGGGACTGGAAGGGAGGAAGCTGTTATCTGCCTGAGAAAATTATCACAAGAGTTCTCTGCCTATTTGGCTAATGTTAACACATCACCAGCTCTTCTCCACCAACCCAAAAGATCATTGATTTTATAGCAATAACCTTCTCTTTTCATCTATTGCATTTACAATTATTGCATCTCTTTTCTATAAAGTGAATCTTCTCAGTTATCTACACTACTGCACCTAGTTTTGTGTGTGTAAGGGTTACCTACTTGTTTGTCCTTAATTCTCAAAGAGGACCATGATGTCGAGAAAATGATGCCATGACTTGCAAGTGGCTTTGCATTTAAGTGGACTTAAGAATAGAATAGAAGAAGGAGAGAATTACAGAGTATCTCAAAGGAAAGTCAGTAAAGGTGCAATAAAATTATAGCCACTTAAGGGACATTTTAAAAAGTGGCCACATAGAATGCATTGTGACAATGACTTGAATCTGTCAGTCCTGATGTAGGCAGATAGACTCTTTAGCCCTAATCAGATTGTCTTCAAACATTAGATATTCATCAGTCTTGTTGACTTGTGTAGCTCTTCTTCTTTCTTTCTTCTATCAATTTCCCTCTCTATCTGCCCTCTCTGCATCCTATCCACACTTATCTCTAGCTTCTACCATTAGTTTGTCCACATTTCTGAAATCCAAAAGTACTACTATGACCTCTTAATTTGTTTTTCTTTCTCTTACATGTGGAAGGGGGACTTCCTCTTTAATTCATTCAACAGGCATTGATTAAGCATCTAGTATGAGTAAGACCCAGTGCTAGATACCGAGGATATAAAGACTAAAAAAATCAGTCAGTAAGACAGTCAATAAGCATTTATTAAGCATCTACCATGTTTCAGGCACTGCGCTAAATACTAGGGATATAATCATGGCTTTCAGGTAGTACAATAATTTTTAAATTCTCTCTTCTGGATCTATTTTCCAGGTCAGTTGTTTTTCCAATGAAATATTTCACATTTTCTTCTATTTTTTTCATTATTTTGATTCTATTTGATTGTTTCTTGATATCTCATAAAGTCATTAGCTTCCCCTTGCCCAGTTCTAACTTTTAAGGAATTTTTTTCTTTAGTGAGTTTTTACATGTCCTATTCTATTTGGCCAATTCTACTTTTTTAAGGAGTTCTTCTCTCCAGTGAATTTTTGTGTATCTTTTTCCATTTGTCCAGTACTGCTTTTCAAGGCATTCTACTTCTCCTTGGCTTTTTGGACCTCTTTTACCATTTGGTCTATTATGTTTTTTTAAGGTGTTACTTTCTACAGTATTTTTTTTGCTCCTCCTCTACCAAGGTGTTGACTTTTTCATGATTTTCTTGAATCACTTTCATTTTTCTTCCCAAATTTTCCTTTACTTCTCTTACTTGATAAAAATACTTTTCGAGCTCTTCTATGGCCTAAGACCAATTCATATTTTTCTTTGAGGCTTTGGATGTAGCAGTTATGACTTTGTTGTCTTCTGAGTGCCTGTTTTGATCTTCCTTGTCACCATGGTAGCTTTCTACAGTGAGAATTTTTTTTCTGTTGTTTGCTCATCTTCCCAGCCTATTTCTTGACTTTTAACTCTATGCTAAAATGGGGCTCTGCTTCTAGGGTGGAGGGCACACTGTCCCAAGCTTCAGAGGGTTTTATGGAACTGTTTTCAGAGATACTTTTAGGGACCTGTAAGTTTTCAGTTCTTCCAAAGTGGTATCATCTAAGGAGAAGTGTGTTTATGCTGTGCTCTGGTCTGTGAGTGACACAAGCACTCTTTTCTACCCTGGAACTTGAGTGGGATTCCTGAACCCCTGTGAAAGCAAGCTCTGGTGCGCTAGTGCTCCTTCTCACCCTGGGATTGCCACCTAGGACTGCAACCAGGATGCAAGTATGGGCAATGCAACAGAGTCTTGTCTCCAGTGCCAGCAAAGGGACCCCTGTCATCTCCTTCTGACCAGTTATCCGACCCCATTAGTGTCTGTGGATTGAGAGCTCTGGAAGCACCCATTGTCACTGCTGATTCAGTCACTCCCAAGCCCTGCTTCTGGTTTGCTGGGACCCAGTCTGCTCTGGCACAGCCTGTGCTGCTGGACCATGCTCCACTTTTCGCCTCCCCCCAACCCCTACTGGCTGAGCAGTATGACAAACTTTCCTGCTTACTTTCTAAATTGCCTTGGCAAATTATTTCACCCTGTCCTTTTGCGGGTTCTGCCACTCCAGAATTTGTTTTGAGGCATTATTTAAAGTTATTTGGAGGGGAATTTAGGAAAGCTGAGGCAAGTCCCTGCTTTTTCTCTGCCATCTTGGCTCTGCCCAACACTGGGGATATAAAAAGAGAAAAAGACAGTCCCTGTTCTCAAGGAGTTCACAGTCTATTAGGGAGACAACACACAAACACCATTGTACAAACAAAATATATACAGGAAACAATTAACAGGGGTAAGGCACCAGAATTAAGATGGATCAGCAAAGGCTTCCTGTGAAGGTGGGATTTTAGCTGGAATAGTCTTTCTCCTCAAGGACCCTTTATATTGCTATTGCACAATATTTTGGGAGTATTTTGCAAGGAACTTGAGGACGAAGAATTTCATGGAAGAGGTGCCACCTGTGGTGAGCCTTTAAAGAAGATAATAGTTTTGAGAGGCAAAGGTGAGGAATGAGTTCATTCCAGGAAAGAAGAATAAATGCATGGAAGTAGAATATTAAGTGTGACATTAGGGGAACAGTGAAGAATCCACTTTGTGTGGAACAGAGAGTAATGTAAGTTAAGGCTAGAAAGAGGATGACATTTCTTTTTTCCATTGCCCTCACTACTTTGTAATATTCTGCCCCATTTAATCCTGAAACAGGGAACACAAGTGATTGAAAATAAGCATGAAGTCTTTCATATGACAACCCAAGAGGATAATCCATTCCACAATGATGTATCCCTTCAAATATACTCTGTAGCCTTCTCCTTAAAACACACCTCCCTCTTTCCTCCCCTCCTTTTCCCAGCCCTCACTACAAAGATGCTCTTTTTTTCTTTAGTAAAGATTAAAATCAGATAATTAAACTTAAATTATATGGGCTAGACAAATTCGTGCCTGATGAGCCAGAATGACAAAAAAAAAAAGATTTCAGAGATGTACCAAAGGATACATGTTGTATTTATCCCACTCCTGATTGATTACCTTTATTACTTAATTCTAGGCAAACAACTACCATGAAGACAGAACTCACATACCTGGTTTGTGCAGGATCATCTTTGCTTGCCATTTTTGGGTATGTTTGGAAATTGGAGGCATTTCTTTATGAAGAAAGGAAGATGTACCATGAATAAATTATATGTTACATAAAATAATTAAGACAAGGTATCACAAAAAGATGATTAATATACTGAAATAAATCTTATGATTCTAGCACAGTAAATACAAAATGAAATTACATTGAATACAAGTTATATGTCATCTGTAGGAAATATAACTTGACATTTCCTATATGGGGCATTCAAAGACACCTAATATGTGTTATAGTCATATTAAAATTATAACACACTTGTTACTTTTAAAATGTCAAAATATCCATTTATGTATTATTTCCTTTGATGAATTCCAGATGTCCCCATTTGAAGTATGGAAAATAAAATAAGTGCATAGGTACAACCTTGTGTAATTGTATTCAGTCTCCATTTTTCTGGGACAATTCACAGGAAATTCAAAACAAATTCAATCACATTGCAAATTAGAAAAGAAAGACACACCCAGGGACAGAGAGAGGTTGGTTCTGGACAATTTGAAGGCCTGAAGAGTTCACAAGAGAAAGATTTAGTCACTGGCTTAAATGCTCACTGCACTGAGACTTAATCTTTCCCCTGTCAATACTACTTCTAGGTCTATGTCCCAAAGAGATCATAAACATGGGGAAAGGACCCACATGTACAAAAATATTTATAGCAGCTCTTTTTCTGGTGGTCAAGAGTTGGAAATTGAGGGGATATCCATCAATTGGGGAATGGTTGAATAAGCTGTGGTGTATAAATGTAATGTAATGCTATTGTGCTATAAGAAATGATGAGCAGGCAGATTTCAGAAAAACCTGGAAAGACTTACATGAACTGATGCTGAGTGAAGTGAGCAGAACCAGGAGAACATCGTACACAGTAATAGCCACACTCTGTGATGACTAACTTTGACAGACTTAGCTCTTTTCAGCAATGCAACGATCTAAGACAACTCCAAAAGACTCATGATGGAAAATGCTATCCACATCCAGAAAAAGAACCATGGAGTCTGAATACAGATGTAAGCATACTGTTTGCTCTCTTTTTCTTTTGTTGTTTTGTTTTGATTCTTCTTTGTTGTGGTTCCTCCCATTGATTTTAATTCTTCTTTACATCATGACTAATGTGAAAACATGCTTAATATGAACATATAGGTAGAGCCTATATCAGATTGCACACGATCTTAGGGAGTAGGGAGGAGAGGGAGGGGGAGAAAACTTGAAACTGAAAATCTTATGGAAATGAATATTGAAAACTGAAAATTAATAAATAAATTGTTTTTTTAAAAAAGAAAAAAATAAAATAATCTTTCTCCTGTGGCAGCTTATGAAATTTTGGAGAGCTCTCCCTAGACCCAGGGTGGGGAACCTGTGGCCTTAAGTACACATATGGACTTCTAGGTCCTTAAGTGCATCCTTTTGACTGAATCCAAATTACAGAATCTGTAAAATTTTGATTTAGTCAAAAGGCTGCACTTAAGGACCTAGAAGGCCACAAGTGGCCTTAAAGCTGCAGGTTCCCCACCCTTGCTCTAGACCCTCCCCACATCCACTGTTATAAAAAATACTTTCAAATCATTATTGTAGATCAACTTCCATAATCTAAATAACACTAGAGTCTTACTCTCAAACAATGATCAGAGGTTCTTTAAGCAGGCACCTCTATATCCTCTCAACTTGGCATATCCAAGTCAGGTAATTTGTAGACATTTATTGAGCTCACGAGAAAGCTAGATGGCACAGTTAGAGGGCTGGACCTGGAGTCAAGAAGACTTGAATTCAAATCTTGCCTCAGACACTTACTCGTTGTGTGACCCTGAGAAAGTCACTTGACCTCTTTCTGCCTCAATGGCCTCATCTATAAAATGGAGATATTAATAGCACTTACCTCACTGGGCTATAATGAAGATGAAATCAGATAGCATGTAAAACATTTTGCAAGCCTTAAGGCACTAAGTAAATGCTAGATAGTATTACACAGGCTTACCAGGCTTACTCTTTTTAATAGGCTTCAGGAAAAGAGCAGCAAAACTTTAAGAGGATAAATCGCATGACAGATGCTGATCTGCAATGGTAGCAGGAATTTTCTCATAGGAAGTTCTCTATTCCAATGAAGTTACAAGCCTGACTCAGAAAATAAAAACAAACAAACAAAACAGTTATAGGATCATAGAGCTAGGGCTGGGTGGAACCTCCAAAGTCATTTAGTTCAGTCCCTTCATTTTACTAATAAGGAAACTGATACTGAGGCCCAGGGAGATTAGTGATTTACCCATGGTCACACAGGCAGTAAGCATCAGAGTCAGGATTTAAACCCAGGTTTTTTGCCTCCAGAGTCAGTGATATGAATAAAATTCATCACACCACCTATGAAATAATTTGCTTCTTCCATGATTGACCACACAGCGCTAACTGATGCAATCTTCTCCTAGACAACCCTTCCCCCGGATATTTGGCCACCACATTTGTCGAGGCTTTCTTCGCCCTGTCTTGTATCTGCCTTTTCTTTCCCATCTCCATTATCACAGCCCCAGATTAGGATCTTACCACCACATGTATCACCCACTGCAATAGCATCTTAAACGATTTTTCTGCATCCAGACTATACTTTGCATTCCTTTCTGTGTACTGCCATGGGATTCACCTTTTGAAAAGGCCTCCTTGATTGAAGAGTTTCATGAATAGTATTGAAGATTAGGATGATGAAGATCATAGCTGAAATTCATATAATTCTTTAAGTTTTACAATAGGTGTAAGATTTACACCTATTTTTCACTTGATCCTCACATCAGCCCTGTGAATTAGGTGCTATTATGATCCCCATTTTACACATAAGGAAACTGAGACTGAGACAGGTTAAATGATTTGCCCATTGTCTGAAACAGGATTTGAACCCAAGTCTTCCTGTCTAAAGATGTATCCACTGTGCTACATTGAATAAATAGAGTTTGGTTATTATGCATCAGTGGGTTTTTTTAGATAACATCCTCTAGAAATGTTAGGAAGACAATCTGTGTAAAGAACTCTCCTATTTGCCATTCACATTGAGCTAAAGAAAAGGACCAAGAAAAATTGTCCTTTTGTTCTGATAACCTGAATAAACAGAAACAGAAAGGTGGTATCTTTCCCATGGTATTTCTATAGCGTCAATGTAATTGACTAAAAAGTAGGAAATTAATATGCTTTCTAATGGCAAAATGGCCAGTTCATGTGATTTTTCCCCAGCAAGTTGGCCAGCTCTCCTCTCCCTGCCTCCCTCCTAATGAACTAACTGAACCGATTGTTGGGGGGTTGTGCAGAAACAGTTATGGTCACTGTTTCTCCATGTAGCTTTCCATTGTACCACTTAGTCTTCATAGATCACTATAATAAATATGGTGATTATGAAAAAGTTGGAAATGTTGCAGGAAGTACCAAAAGGTGACACAGAGACAGGATATGAGCATATGCTGTTGGAAAAATAACACCCATAAACTTACTTAATGCAGGGTTGACACAAACTTTCAATTGGTAAAAAATGCCGTATCTGTGAAACGCAATCAAACAAAGCACAATAAAACAAGGTATGCATGAGCAAAGACATCCATCCAGTTCCAGCAACAATATTTGTCCTTTTGAGTGAGGGGAAAATAACTTTTAATTCTAAAAAATGCCATTTTTTTCAATTTTTTTTTTCAATTTCAATTTTTTCTGGCTGTTCTAAAGGCAAATCGAGTTCTGAGGAAATCTTCCAGTAGACATGGAAAAATTTTACTCCAATTATATTCAAAGTGTTATTCTTAAGGACGAAGAGTATATTGACCTGCTCTCTTCTTGCTGAATGGCCACAGGAAGTTTAATCTCCAATATCCCAGAGGTAGGGGAGTGGAGTTGTGGGTACATGGTAAACAATCATGATGCCTAGGGGCATCACCAAAAGTATCATCAGAAGCATGAAAGCTAATCCAGGATCACCTTCCTCTCCCCTGTCTATCTGCAACTTCAACAAAATCAACTTATTCTAATCCTTCAAGCCTACACCAATTTTTTCTGGCTCAGGCCCATCCCCTAGTCGTGTACGTTTGATATTGGAACAAAATGAGACACTCGTAGGTCATTTAACAGTTAACAGAAGAAGATTTACTCAGCCATAGCAGAAGGCTATTCAGCAAGGCTACACATCAGGGACAATTCAAATTGATTGGACTGAACGATGCCCCCTTGCCGGTCTTCATTGATTTCTACCAGCCAAGTATTAGGAGCTGTACCAGGCTGTTTGATACTCAGGTGATGAGGAAATAATGTCAGTAGCCTGAGCCTTTGAGTCCTCTGAGACGATCAAGTTATAAGGATCATTTCAGTATCATTTAAGGAAAAACTAGCGAAATGTCGGCAGCTAGGTGGCTCTATGGATAGAGAGCTGGGCTTGGAGTCAGGAAGATTCATCTTCATGAATTCAAATCTGGCCTCAGACATTTACTAGCTAGGTGACCCTGGGCAAGTCACTTAACCCTGTTTGCCTCATTTCCCTCAACTGTCAAATGAGCTGGAGAAGGAAATGGCGAACCATTCCAGTATCTTTGCCAAGAAACCCCCTAATAGGGTCATGAAGAATCAGACATGACTGAAAGAACTGAGAAGCAACAGTCAAACTTGCATGGCAGAAAGCGTTTGGATGCTGTTCCCTCTACAGCTCTGAATTCTGGGCTTCTAAGGCAAGGGCCCACATACCTTACCTGAGTTCTGATTTAGCCTGGGAATATGTGCCCCCTCACCTGATTCACAAATTGTCAGGAGCAGCTAGGTACCTCCATTCTGTACAACCTCAATACCCAAGGTTTCCCTATCAGAGACACCCGGGCTATAAACTGATAGTGTCGTCTTCACATAGTCTTCACCTTTTCTCCATGGCAGAAGGCTCTCTATTGTTGTTCTTTCTTCATCTCATTTTACACTATGAGGAAACTGAGGGTTAAACAGGGTTAAGTGACTTGCCCAGCATCACACAGTGTCTCAGTTCACATTTGAACTCAGGTCCTCCTGATTCCAGAGCCAGAGTTCTATCCACTATACCACCTAGCTCGCCCCTAGGGCTCTCTACATCTCAGTGAAGCCACTTCCAATTTTTTGTCCCTGCACTGTGTCTCTGTGCAGGCCATGGCCGAAGCCTGGAACATAGGCCTCCCTCTTCTCTTCCCCTCAGAATCTTTATCTTCTTCTAAGACTCCCTTTGATACCGTCTCTTCCATGAAGTTCTCCCTGATCCCCCGAGGTGTTCATGTTTCCTCTCTTCTCAATTACTTTATACTTACTTCTCTGTGTACATGTATCCCACTAGTGAAAAGAAATCTCCTTGAGGGCAGGGATTGTTTAATTTTTGTCTTT